AGGCGAGCATCTTCACACAGTTGGAGCAATCGCTCACCATTATCATTACGGGAGCCTACACCATGTTGGCCGCCTAGATGAAGCTCATCAGAGGACAATTTTCCGACTTGGGCGTTTAGATCGCCAGCCAGCACCACAGTATTCGTGCTTCTTCTGTAACGAAGGAGCTCGTGAAGTTGCTGATAGAAATTATCTTTTACCGAATCAGTGCTACAGTTTGTAGGGGCGTAGGCCGCAATGACAAACAGGCACCGTTTGTCCCCGCGCGACTTCCTAGCACGGAACGAACCAGCTAATCTAACGGCGCACATCCTACTGTTTACTGGGATCCAATCAAGCAGGGCAGCTTCAGCCCGGGGACTCAAAACAATGCCGACGCCAGCTTGACCGGCATTTGAAGCTGCATCATCGCCAGATAGGCGCAATGAGAATGTGCCGCCAGTGTCGCATGTGGGGGATCTCAGGGTAAGCACGGAGCTCGAACCTTGCAGGCGGGTTTCTGATAAACAGCAAATATCGATCGACAGGGTCTCTAGTGTGCGGGCAAGTGCTGCCTGTTGGCCAATCTGCAGCAAAGTGCGCATGTTGAGGCATGCCAATCTTAGCGAGACACGAGGACTCCAAAGGGAAACGGATGAACTGACGTTGTCCGCTTGGTTGAACATGGACTTGTCGACTGGATTGGAGCGAGGCCCTGCGATTGTGTGTGATTTGAAATTAGAAGACAAGCGACTATTGAAGTAAGCTGGGGGAGGGCCAAGAATTGGGGGACTGAAAATGGGGGGATATAAGTAAAGTTGGAGCGGGACAATAAGGATGTAGAAGCGCAAGAAGAGGTATAAGAAGACGGGAAGGCCTGAGCAGTAGCATCCAAACCCCTATCCACCCTGCTCGATGCAGCAGATAGGGCGCCGTTTATTATCCTCTGCGACGGCCAGAGCATCAAGAAATTGTTGTAGGAAAGGTTTATTGTATTGCGTGGGCAGAATACTGTCAGGTTGCCCAGGCCTAGACAGGAGAACGATTAGGGTTCTCAACCAAAGTCTTTGGTTCAAAAACCTTACCGCAAGGCAGCGGGTTTTGGCACTGGACTACAGAGCCCGTTTTATGAAATGAGGAGCCACCCCCATTCCAACCCCCAACCTGGAGGACCAGGAGGCTGAGTTTGTCTGGCCTCTAACCATTGACCAATCTGGTATGAGTGGCTCTAAAGGTGCAAAAAAAAAGCACCACCCAGCATAGCTCAATGGATCTCTGAGGCACGCAAACCATCGCACCACGGTAAGGTCCAGCCCCATTGCGATGGTGATACTAATCCCCATTGGCCACGTCACCGAAACAAGAGACGACAAAGGAACGGTTACGAGTTCAAAACCCTAATACCGCCTCAAGATAAGGTGGTGTCAAACCAACTGGAAGTTAGCAGGCGAAGTGTCCGCGTTCGAATCAGTCAGAGGAGATCCAGGGTAGAAGAGGCACCGGAACTGGACCAACGTACTCGCGAAAGCGAGGCCTTCAAATTGCCGGTTGGTTTTCTTATCGGGAAATCATTTTTAATCTAGCCACTGCGTATGTATCCAATTCATAAAACATTTTTGTCATTTGGTTTACCTGGACTATTTTCTTGACATCTACGTCATTCTTTTTCCACCAATACAATGAAATCTCTCAGGGATACCGCACTCAATGTGTCCACAAAGTCAAAAATAATTGCAAATGAGTCACGAGAAAACATACAGGAAAATCGATAGAACACCGTTGTGGCTGGCAAGGCGCTCTTAGACATCGTTCAGCTGCTAAAGCACATACCACTGACCCTATGCAACAATAGCTGATAACTCTCAGGACAAAACGGTGGAGCTTACTGCAGTCATGCAGCAAAATGACACATACGAATGTTTCAAGAAAGCTGGCTACATGCTGATGTTGAAGAGGATGTTATTCAACTTGCTGATTATCTTCCCATCAGATCCGACCATATCGGAATGACTCGGAATGGTGGATGGAATGTCAACAATTACGTCCATCAAAGTTGGTACAACCCAACAGCCATATTTTCACCTAATCAACAGTCACAATCAGCTGCCTTTTAATTGAACATAGGCCAAAGTCTTTCAGCGGTTTTATTTCTGCTGTTACTTTAGACGTATACATAGCCTCAGACACACTATAATGTTGACATATGTTACAGATGGACCAACGTCGGCGTTACTGCGGAAACCTGACCGCTCAGTGTGAGTCAATGAAAGTGCTACCACATCCATCCAGGCGCCTGACTTGACTAATATAGTGGCCTATCCGACCAGACTAGAAGTGTAATTCTATTTCGTCTTCACAAACTACGCTTGGCTGTTTTCTACGCAAAAACGTGTGCCACTCGGCACGTTAAGACTCTCGCACAGTTCATTGGCAAATAAGCAATTCAAGACTATGGACCTCCGTATTGACCTCGATCCTGGGTACCTACAGCTGAGAAAGCGTAAAACTGGGCGGCCGAAAAGCGAACAAAGAGAGGTCACGAGACACAGATCGACGAGGCCAATCTCGAACGCTATTTCCAGACGACACTTTCCGTGAGATTTTCCTCTACGAAGCAGTGCACTGAAGATGCCACTGAGCGAAGTGGTGAAACGTTTCTCATTAAATTACTCAGCTAGGAGAAGGAATCAAAAACGCTGAGCGACAGGATTGTTCAGTGTTCAATATTGAGAGACACCAAGCAATGATGTTTTCTAATTATTTTGCAGTTTTCGTCAATAAAGATCCGTCTATTCAATGTGAACATCACACTGAGTACTTCAACATTTGATTCGATTTGTCGTGCCCAGTCTAAACCATCTACTAACAAGTAGATACACTCTTCTCACCATCATTCAAATAACTTAGAAGGAAGAAAGAACGGGCATATAATCGTAAAATCACTCACTGTATCAAACAATTATCCTTAGCATTAAAACCTCAGGTTTTACGACCGAATAATTTATACGTTAAACCCATTTTATGTGATCACAACTGCCAAGATCTGTAGAGATTTTTAAAGCAGCTATGCGGTTAGAGATTCAGTGAGTAGCTTGTTTCTGGGAATAGAAATTCAAGTCTAAGTTCTATTCTTTCTCACAGGAAGTACACTCTCCTACATTCCCTTTGCATTCGTTCCCTGGCTCTGGCTCAGAATTACAGTCCAACACGCTTAAGTCTACCGAGAACACAGGAGGTTGTACTCAAAGAAGGCAAGTTGGCCAGATACTCAATCATCAGTTGTCGTAAAGGAGTGTGCCGATACCCACACAAATGGCAGATGTTAATCCGTGCTTACATGGTGAAGTTATTCCCGATATTTGGAGGCCCGTCGGGATAATGCTCGTGCCAAGACAGGGGATGCATGAAATTCCGTCCAACCGCCTGTACGCCCACCACGCTGAAATTCTTCGAGCGACTACTTGTGTGCTGGATTTCAACAAGCACTCCAGCTGTGAACGTATCTCAGTTTGCGTACAGAACTCGACGTTCCACGTTTGAAGCATACCATTTTCACTCAGTAGCATTGGATGCGAAATGCAAGACCGCACGACTTCTCGTTAATTACTTCAAAGTTTTTCGAAGTGTGCACAAGTCAAATCTGCCCAATCAATTGTCTGCGAGTGGTGTTAAATTAGTAGTGTGCAACCTGATGAGAAAGTACTTCGTAAATCGCCCTCACTTCAACCAGCTAAAGGGTAAAAAACCACTCCTAGTGATGAGCGGGACATTTTGCAAGGAGCGATCCTCTCTCCTTATGTATTCTCTATACATCGAAATGGCTCCTATTCATCCAAGTTTTGTTGAATGTAAGGACGCCAACGACGTAGATCTAGGTAGCATTGCTACAGCTGCTGAATCATCAACGGATCTCCAAAGTGGGTTGGATGAACATCATCGGTGGTCATTGTCCCGATCTCTTATTTTCAGCGCTTCTAAATGCAGCGATGTAAGTTTTCTCCGCACTGACAAATGCCCGAGTTTGGCAAATAATTCGCGCCCCAAGGTCGTGAGTGACCATAACATACCCATTTCATCCACTATTAAGTGTTCTGAATATTTATAAACTCTCGCAGGCAACACAAGTTAACGAAACATTCCACAAGTTGCGAAAAGTATAGCCCAACCTGCCATGGCGACTAGTCAAAAATACCCCAAACGATGTTCCCATACTATGTGTTTTCCTGAGACTCAAAATGCTTTCAGCACCCTGCTAGTTAATTCATAGATTCGTGACTGCTTGTATTCTTCCTCGTTGGCTTTATTGTTCGTTTTTTGAGGGCTTCTACGAAAAGACCTCACAATGAATATGCGTTCCATTAAGCTCAACTCCAGGTGTAGTGGACTGTCCAGTCACTGGTTAACTTCACCGTTTCTAAGCACTTTCGTTTATGTGACAGCTTATCAGTATAGGGATAAAATAACCAGTTTCATCATCCACGCAATGATTTAGTAAAACCTTCCTCCTGTTTGTCAATCCGCCGTAAATTTAGGGTTCTGTTTTCCCATAACGTCTTATCATAACCCTACGTTACTGTACTTACCCCGTTTGCTTGTGGACTCCAAGGAGCTTATCAGCACCACGCAGGAGCGTTTAGTTGAGTGATGAGCAAGCGCATTTTATTGTTTACTGTGAATGCAATTTTAGATGGATTTTATGACTCAGTACATTCACCGTGCCAGTGCAAAACGCTGAACATACTCCTAATCAGGTGCATAAAGCCTAGTTTGACTTGACTATTACCGCCCACCCAGAACACGAGCTGGATGAGCACAGGGTATGATTTTCAACTTTTGTTTCAATAACTAAAAACATTCAAAAGGTCAATGCATCGGATGAGATAGAGAAATATTAGGCATTGGTTGTCCGCGTCCAGAGATACAGATGTACCAGAAAGTGCCAAAGATCTTAACAACTGGGAGGTGGTATCAAAACGGGACAAAAACCTAAGGCGGTATATATAACTGATGAGTTAGCTAACCTGCAAATTGGATTCAGAATCGTTGCCTGAGACATTCGTGAACGTTGAGAGTGCATTCGCTGCAGCTTCAGCCGCTATCCTCAGCTTCTCCGCCAACTCTCGCATACTCTGATGAAAACTCCAATCAGCGGGAACAAATTGGAAAGCGCAAAATGCTTTGTGGTTGAAATTGCAATCAAAATCAGAGCTAAACTTGCTGAAAACGGATTTCAACTCCGATGGAAAGGAAGTGGGATCGAGCGTCGTGAGGTCACATATCACACGTATGGAGGCGAAAATCGCCAGAAGCACGTAAATGTTGATGCACCATATGGCAGAAAAATTCCATTTGTAGATAAGCAGAGATGACATCGATGCAAGTAGTTCTTAACGAAAAGGTATCACCCGATGAAGTTCATGTCGCCAATGCACTGGGGGAAAACAGAAAAAGCACAATGACTGTATACATAAGCATACAGAGAGATCTCAATGAAAATAACGTTCGATATTGAAACAAAACTAGACTCCTCGAAACCACGTGTGAGAACAAAAATGATCAGAGGTTATATAGTAAAAGGAAATTATACAATATCGACCATCGCGACGAGATTGGACTTTCGCGTTGTGCGACGGTTTGCGTACCTAAGCGATCAGCTGGGCTAAGCTGAGTGGTGCTTTTGTACCTTCAGAGCCACATACCAGACTGGACAATGGTTAGAGGCCTGATAAACTGTCTCCTAGCCAACCAGACTCGAAGCTGGTGTGAGGCTGACTCCTTACTCCATAAACCAGACTCAGTGTAGTCCAATCCCCACAATACGCTGCCTTGCGGTCCGGTTTGTGAACCAAAAGTTTGGCTGAGAACTCTAATCTTTCCCCAGTCTAGGCCTGGGCAACTTGATAGTATCTTGCCCACACAATACAATACGATGACCTTGCCTTCCAATAATCTCTTGATGCACTGGCCGCCGCAGAAGATAAGTAACGACGCCCTATCCACTGCATCGAGCAGGGTGGATAGGGGCAAGGATGCTACTGCTCAAAGCTTCCCGTCTTCTTATTCCCCTATTTGTGCTTTTTCTTACTTATCGTCCCATTCCAACTCCACTTTTATCCACGTGTTTGCAAGCCCCCAATTCTCGAGCTTCCCCCATCTTTCTCCGATACTTATTTGTCTTCTGGTTTCAACTCACACGCAATCGCAGAGCATCGCTCTGGCCCAGTCGACGTGCATATCGGACCAAGCGAACAACGTCATTTCATACGTTTCTATTTGGAGCCCTCAATCCAGGCTGACTCGCAAATCTCAAAGTGCGCATTTCGCCGCAAAATGGCCAACAGGCAGCAATTACCTGGAGACTAGAAGCCTCATCGATCGGCATTGGATTCGCCTTCACGCGCAGTAGGCAAACGTGAGATCAGACTACTGAAAGTAAATAAGGCCGCAGGAGCAGATAAAATAACTCCAGCTCTTTGAATTCGGTGGATTTGCTATCGTAAATGATCTGCACAACTTACTCGTGAAGCTAGAGGAGCAGGAAACTGTCTAAGCCAACTGGAGGCGCTCATCGAAGTCCCAATATTCAAGAGATGGCTCCGGTTCGGAATGCGAAAATTATGGACGAACCCGCCTAATCGCAAATGTCTTTAAGTTGCTTGCTACCCTCGTCCTCCACAGACTGACTGGCACTCGTGAAAGCCAGATTCGTGAGCAAAACGCCGGGTTTCGTCGAAGTCGTGGCTGTATTGATGATACCATAACATTAGGTCAATTGTTAGAGCATCGCCACATTTGTTGATGATTCACTGTACTCATGTTCATCGACATCAAAAGTGGATGTAGATCGATATGCTCTTTGAGAAGGTCTACTAAGGAAAGATGTGCCCGCGAAATATGTAAATGTCATGAGAGCGTTGTATGCGCATAGTTCGGGTAGTGTGAAGGCTTAGGGCAAGTTGACGCCGCCCTTCAATATCTCCAGTGGTGTAAGACAAGGATGCCCGCTGTCACCCTTTTAAACTTCGTCGTCGACGAAGTCATGGAAGTTGCATTTATTGGACACGAGTTGAAAGGGCGTGGAGCTGCTCTCAGGTGACCGACTTCTTGACTTAGAATACGCCGACGATATTGATCTGTGACAGCTCGCAAACGTGCCAAGCAGCACTGGACGGATTAGTTCTTACTGTCTATTATTTCGGGTATGCTTTGCACCCTCGAAGTGCAAGGTTCATCTCCAAGTTTGGCACGTATCCACCCTGCGCTGACCCTTGGTGGTGATCAGCTGGAAGTCATAGAGAAATTCAAATATCTCGGCAGCTATACTAACGCCCGTGGGATCGAAGATGAGATTATTCACCATATAGCAAAAGCTAGAGCCACTTCTGCTTAGCTTCGCCAATTATGGCGCCGGTGCGACATCACTCACTCCTACACTATGAAGGGAAGAGTCCACAATGCAGCCGTCAGTTCAACCCTCATGTACGGTTGCGAAATCTCGTCCATGAAATCGACAGATGTAAAGAGGCTTGTTACCTGCGATCATCGCTGCCTTCGTATGTTCGCACACATCTGGTGGGAACCGCGTGAGCAGTGAGCGTGTCCGACGTCATGTATATGTACAAGAGACAGTGAACTGCTCAGTGTCATTATGTCATGTGCCAGGCTCCGATGGCTGGACCATGTGCTGCGTATGCCAGCACTCGCGCGACGTGTGGTTTGCGCACCCGCGGTCTGGATAGAAGAGGGCAAGCGACGAATTGATCAAGAGGAATGGAGTCCCTCGCTTCGAAGTTGACGTCGGTTAGTGTTTCCTGAATAGCGGACCGGAGTAATAAGGACGATGAACAGGATCGATTGAATACACTTATTTAGATGGTGAAGATCCGGCTCAAATGATATTTATGTCGTGAATTTCGTTGTCCCATCATTCCGGTTGTCATTCATTTCCAACCACGTGTTCACATGTGATGCGTAACCTGATATTGAGCTTCATATTACATAGTTTTTACTATTTTTATATCCCATTCTGTAAGATGCAGTTTCTCGCTTTTTCATATATCCTATTTCTGTATTGCGGCACATAGACTTCTCATTTTCAGCCAACGTGCAATGATGAATATGATAGTAATACGATACTGACTCGTATTCAATGATCAGACCAAACCACTAGACCAACCGAACGCATTCGGCATATGGAGGCACTGCTAAGTTAATCGATAAGATGAAACATGAGAAGTACCAAGTGAAGAAGTGAAAAATGGTGTAAAACGGATCGAAGACAAGGTACAAAAGGAGAACAAGTTAGAGGCAGGAAGAATAACCTGATTAAACGATGTGAAGGCACAGTAAGGGTCAGTTCCCTGAAAAGTTTAGACTCTCGATGCAACAGCTGGCGGTTAGAAAAACTAGTAGTTTATTCAGTTCGCAAACAGTTCTCTGAACAACCGCATCTAAATCACATATTACCAGTTAGTATTCTACACGATGGAATATAGAGGAAATCTAGAGACTGATACGATTAGGATGCATTTTCGATAAAAATAGGCGATAGGCAAGGAAAGTACACGGACGGAGGGTTAGAGACAAGAATGGCATCAGCGGTACGTCCGTGCTGAGTACCGATGCTTCGCTGCCGCGCAACCACCAACAATCGCATGTGGGCTAACGATAATGCGAGGGTCGCCCGGTTCCTACGCAGACTCGAATCCGCGCCCTCAAATTACAAGGCAGGCTTGATAAGCTTAAGGATACGGGCCGGCGATAGGAACAAGGAGGAAAATGTCGGTGAAATGTCAGTTCCTACAACGAAATTCGCATCACAAAGTGAAGATATTCAATGCGACCATGAATATACGCCCCAATTTGTTTGAAAATCAAACGCGTGCAGTCTCGGGAGCACATTGTCATAAAGTTCGTGAATACCCTTCAAACTGTGTACCGTGTATCGAAGATGAGCGGGATTTTTTGGTGTAAAAGAACTATCAACTGACCGATGGTACCAAACTGATAAGTATAAAAAAGGAATGATCCAATCATTTTTCCTCTCCGGTAAGGAAATATCAGCGCTACATATAAGGTAATTTGGCAAGTAAAGTGGCTGTTAATAATACCTACCTCGGAATCTGCGCGTCACTTGGCGCGATAGTGATGCGGTAATTGACTCGTTTTTTGAGACCCTTCTTATGAGAAGCAAAACAATTCGCAATACCTTTTCGTTGGCGCCGTTTTCATCGCTTTAAAATATTATTCCTTTTCGCTTCTTGTTGATTTACTCGCTGTGAGACACGGTGTTAACAATCGTGCCCTTTTTACTTTTCAGCCGGTGCACATTGGTAGACCCCAATCTGTACTCCTTCCAGCTTGGAGGCTGTTTGTCGTCCGATATTATGCTTTGGACTCTTAGATATGGAGCGAACCGGTGTGAACAGAGCGATCATCCGTAGTGACTTCTAATCCGTAAGATTTCTGGCGACGAAGGTGTTGGTTTTCGCTCCTCAGCCTTGTCTGCCGACGCTGTTTTGAAGCAGAGGATAATAGCTCAAATCAAGCTAACGGAGATGCTGGTTTAAAAATTCGTTACTTTGGGGTTGCCTTCCTTCCCCGCAGATTAACTGTTAGTGGATCAACACGCATGGAACGTCTCTGATTTCCATTATGATCAGCAAGCTTGCGTGACCTTCGGAATCATGGTATAAGCGATACGAGGACATTTTCTCGGTTGAACTGGCCAACCGAGATGACGAGACCAAAGTCCGACTACTTCAGCGGAAACTGGGCCAGCGGAATACGTCTGTTTCACAAATTTTATCCTCCCTGACTAGACGCTGGTCACACAGCTTTAGCGAGACAGTGCAGACATTGATGGCAATTTTAGCGGACACCACTTTGGTTAACAACCGTTTCCAGTACCTCTAGATAGTCAAGCGCGATACCGACGAGTTTCACATGTGCTGGCCTTGTCAATCGTGAGTGAGGTGGTTTCAAACTTGGATCTTCGACCGAGGATCAATACCGATGCTTGACTTCTGTCTGTGGTCTCCAGGCACCACGTGATGCATATCTACGAACCAGGTTTGTTTGGAACCCATATATATACCGCATATTACCCTATATAAGCCGATCCATATGTAGGCCGACAGTATGACTTTGCAACGTCAAATTTGTCCAAATTCGTAAGTCCGTATATTAGCCGACCCCAAAAAAGTAACAAAAAGAAACGAAATTGCTTCTCACGACCTTCATCACTACCTAATAATAATAAGCTGCTCAACTATTGGTCAGTTCTGTCGACCTAGTGTGTTATGACCGCAGTTAATGGGGCTTAGAGCCGTCAGAACAAAGATTTTAACCGCCCTGGACAGTGTAATGTTTAGATGTCAAGTCACACGAAACAGGTAAGACAGCCGACAATATGGGGTAAGGTGAAAGGGTGTCAGACACCGTCTCGCATAGTCGGGGGCCTCATGCATCTGAATTGCAGTGGAGCAGTGGATAAGAGAAAAGTTCACGATCAGTGACGTTAGACGACGTACTTTTAATGCATCAGATTGATTAGCATAGCATAATGTATATGTGCTGTGACTCGTTAACCAAAATAGCGATCCAGCTGAAACGGAATGTGCCCACATTTCGTGCGATCTTTCAAAGCCGTGGAAACATGGAAAAATGTCTCGACAGAAGCGATGTGCATATGCTGGTGGCTTTAAATTGAGTTATCGCGTTTGCCGAGCAATGTAATAATTGTACGGTAACACGCCATTCGCAGTGAATGAAAAGCAAGTGAGAAGCACGAAAGGAAAAGTCGGAATTGTCACTAATACCTGTAGGCAAGAGATCAGCACGCGGTGGAACAACTACGTTTGTTGCACTGGAGGAAAAGTTAACGCAATGGGGTTGTGGAGTCACGGCACGGCGGGTAATTATTACCCGAACCGGGTCAGGGAGCTCACAATGTCAAAAAATTTCAGTCATGGAAACTGGTGAATTTTGTTGCTTCCTCCGGATGGTTTAGTTGTTTTATGAACCGATTCGACATGTGTCGACGGACGCGCACAAAACTAGCCTAAGGAATTGGAGAGTAAAGTTGAATATTTTCTAAGGTTCGTGATTCACACACACACACACACACACACTATACACGTTAGCTAAAAGGTGGAAAACACCTCAGCTACTGTGCCGCAATACCTAAAAAAAAGGGAATAAAATGCAACAAATGCAAGCCAGCTGAGCTACAGGTAACGGGTGGGCATCGTTCCGGTAAGCTACCTGCCGGCTACTATGCAGCAGAAAAAAAGAAAAATTTACTGTGCGAAATTATAAAATGCTAAATAAGGAGATCGTGGTTGGAGGTGAAGGCTAAAAGGGATGGGGAGGGACAAAGAAACTCACAGCAGGAACGCGACTCAGGTCGGCTCCTTGCCATGTCAGCAATGAGGCTGGAGCTTGCCGTGGTGCGATGGTTTGTGTGCCTCCGTGATCCATTGAGCTATACTGGGTGGTGCATTTTTGCACCTTCAGAGTCACTCATACAAGATTGGTCAATCGTTAGAGGCCAGATAAACTCAGTCTCCTGGTCCTCCAGCTTGAGGTTGGAATGAGGGTGGCTCCTTATTCCGTAAAACGGACTCCTTGCAGCCCAGTGACAAAACCCGCTGCCTCGCGGACAGGTTTTCTGAATCAAAGGCTTTGGCTGAGAACCCTAATCGTTCTCCTGTCTAGGCCTAGGCAACCTGACAGTATCCTGCTCACGCAATACAATGAATCTCACTTAAAACAAATTTCTGATGCTCTGGCCACCGCATAGGATAATCAACGGTGCCCTATCTGCTGCATCGGGCAGGGTGAATAGGAGTTTGGATGCTACTGCTCAAGCCTTCCCATCTTATTCCCCTCTTGCGCTTTTTCACCCTTATCGTCCCGTTCCAGCTTCCCTTTTATCCCCCCCCATGTTTTCAACCTCCGATTCTCGGCCCACCCCGACCTTGCTTCAATAACCGCCTGTCTTTTAGTTTCAACACATGTGAACGCGGAGCGTCATTCCTGCCCTGTCAAAAGGTCCATGTCTAAGCAAGCGGCCCATTCCAGATCACCGGCTTCCATTTGGAGCCCTCGATCCTCCTTCAGATTGGCATGCCTCAATGCTCGCACATTGCTACAGACCGGTCAACAGGCAGCACATGCCCGAACATTAGAGACCCTATCGATCGATATTTGCTGCTTATCAGAGACTCGCCTGCAAGACTCGAGCTCTGCGCTCACTTTGCGATCCCCTTCAGGTGACACCAGCAGCACTTTCTCATTGCGCCTATCCGGTGACGATGCAGCTTCGAGCACCGGACAAGCCGGTGTTGGTATTGCCCTGAGTCCCCGGGCTGAAGCTACTCTGGTTGACTGGATTCTAATCAGTAGCCGGATGTGTGCGGTCCGATTGGCTGGCTCGTTCAAAGCTTCGAAGTCGCGCGGGACTAACAGGTGTCTCTTCGCCATCGCTGCCTATGCACCCACGAACCATAGCGATGACTCGGTAAAAGACGACTTCTATCGCCAACTGAACGAGCTCCTTAGCCACAGAAGAAGCTCGGACACTGTAGTGCTGGATGGGGATCTGAACGCTCAAGTTGGAAAATTATCCACTGATGAACTGCATCTGGGCGGCCAACATGGTATAGCCTCCCGTAATGATAATGATGAGCGGTTACTTCATTTGTGTGAGGATGCTCGCTTATTTCTTGCGAGTACTAATTTCCGACACAGCACCCGCCGGAGGGTGACTTGGCGCCCACCAGCCTCGAACCAGCTATGGACGCAAATCGATCACATTGCGATAAGTTACCCATGGAGAGGCTGCGTCCAGAACTGTCGCTCGATTTGGAGCACAGGTGTGGACACCGACCATGCACTTGTATGTGCTGACCTGCGGATGCGCTTTGAGGGACGCCCAAGACGACGTTGTAAGCGCATTGACACCAGCCAACTGGCGAAACCAGCCACTCTGAATGCCTATCAAAGTACGCTGTCATGCGAGTTGGATAAACGCTCAATGGATGCAGTTGAAGCTCACTGGTCTCATATTCACTAGCAGCAAGAAAATCCTCGTGTGGCAAGTCTAATCGTCAACATGGACAATGGGTCTCTTCGCAGTCTCTGGAACTTATAGATGCTCGCCGGCATACTCCGGCTGGAAGCGAACACAATGAAACTCGCAAAGAGCTCCGGGTAAAACTCCGTGCTAGCCTGAAGAGAGACCGCAGATTCTGGTGGTCTCATCGTGCAACAGAGATGGAAATGGCCGCTGCCCTTGGTAACCATCGTAAGTTATTCCGTCTGATACGGGAAACGTGCAGCAGGAGACCTGGTGTTAGTGAAACTATACGTGACGAGAGTGCACAGCCTATCCACAAGTTGTCAAAACGCTTAGAGCGTTGGGCTGATCACTTTAAAAGGCAATTTAATCAGTATGTTTCCGTCATTGCTGTCCGTCCCGAAAGTCAAAGGTGCAATATACCGAGAATTTTCGACACAAACAAAGTGTCTACCTATAGTCACTTCAAATCCCCGCCTGATACCGTGTCACTAGCGTGTGGTGCTAAGGTAAGATAGAGGCATATGTATGCAGCAAAATTTTGGGTGGATGATGCATGTGACTTTTATGAAATTGCGCATAACCGCTGTATAAACCGACACCCCCAATACAGACACGGAAAACTGTCCAAAATTCCTCGGATAATATGCAGGGTAATATATATATATATATATATATATATATATATATATATATATATATATATATATATATATATATATATATATATATATATATATATGGCTGAGGACCCGAGTCGTTCTCGTGTCAGGAGTGGGCGCCCTGCCAGTATCCTAGTCCAACCTCTTCGGAGGTTAGGAAGTGGTCGATGGCCCTCTTTCCGTAAAACCTAGCCACGGGAGAAAACAGGTCTGCGGGTTATAAGCTCACAGCTCCATTGGCGTAGAGCACGAGCGCCACGCACTGTCTCTGACGGTGGGAGGGCACCTCCGGGTGTTCAATCGTTTGCAACTGCCCGCATCAAGCCAGGCAGCCCGTGAACAAAATGGTGCAAACCAGTCAAAACCCAGTTGCGTCTGGCCGTGGTCGCAGATGCGTATCCTAATACGGTCGCAAAATATACATGAATCGTTGCAGTACCTCAAAGGCTGAGTGTGACGGCCACCAAGCAGATCCCAATCTGTCCCTGCCGCCTCGGCACTCAGGTCGTTTAACCGAAAGTGGGAGAAGAACAAGTGAATTTCGTTCGGGCCGCAGCACATTAGATATGGTGTATGCGGCTTGTCAGTTGTAGGAGGATCATCATCATCAATCTCCCTGCGGAAGTTGCTCTAAAATCGCTGGTCATCGTGCAATCGCTGTTTCATGTGCCAAACAGGAAAATCAGAAGACATA